CCTCAGGATTCAAAAACAGCTCACAAGCATCATGAGCCAAAAAATTTCCTCACGATGCTTTAAAACACTCTTGCCTTAGTCTGCTATTAGGAAACTAAATATTTTTTCATCGCCATTTGTTTCTCTACAGCTCATAGACTGCTATCTATAGCCTAAAGTACACTCATTCCTGAAAAAATACAAATGAAAAGATTCACACTTGTGAAAATTGTGACTTGTGTATAAGGAACTACACTTGGGTGTCAATCAACTCTGTACCTGGGTACACAGAGACACCCATTTAACTCTTCTCATAAACTTTAATCAGACCATACAGGATTTCGCTAACATTTTTGTGTGAATAAAAATGCTTGATTTTACTGTGGCTTTTAAAAAATTTAATTTAATTTAATTTATTATCAACTTGCAGAATTTCCTGTGATTTTTTTTTTGCAGTAAACTATTCGAATTGGAAAAACTGCAATTGCATGAAATTGTTCTGCACGGACTTTCACAGTGATGTTTGATAGTAAATGAGACTTTTTAGCTGTACTCATGTTAGATGCACGTGAATCGAAGAGGGCTTTGGCTGAATGTACATTCTGATGACGTCACCTTGGCCCAAATCTGTGGAAAATCTGCAAATATTGCAAAAAACAAATTGCAAGCTCCTCCGAATATTGCGGAGTTTGCTTAATTTTGCATTCGTTTCTGTGATCGCAAAATCATGAAATACTAGAGGGACCATCTAATCATGGCTGTGGTGAATTCAATGAACACACACCATATCATAGACTAAGGGTAAGGGTAAGGGTTCCTGCCATTAGCCACACTTACATGTTAAATACACACACACACATATACAGTATCTCACAAAAGTGAGTACACCCCTCACATTGTAAATATTTGATTACATCTTTTCATGTGACAACACTGAAGAAATGACACTTTTCTACAATGTAAAGTAGTGAGTGTACAGCTTGTGTTACAGTGTAAATTTGCTGTCTCCTCAAAATAACTCAACACACAGCCATTAATGTCTAAACCGCTGGCAACAAAAGTGAGTACACCCCTAAGTGAAAATGTCCAAATTGGGCCCAATTAGCCATTTTCCCTCACTGGTGTCATGTGACTTGTTAGTGTTGCAAGGTCTCAGGTGTGAATGGGGAGCAGGTGTGTTAAATTTGGTGTCATCGCTCTCACACTCCCTCATACTGGTCACTGGAAGTTCTACATGGCACCTCATGGCAAAGAACTCTGAGGATCTGAAGAAAAGAATTGTTGCTCTGACACTGAGCTGCAGCACGGTGGCCAAGACCATACAGCGGTTTAACAGGACAGGTTCCACTCAGAACAGGCCTCGCCATGGTCGACCAAAGAAATGCATGTGCTCAGCGTCATATCCAGAGGTTGTCTTTGGGAAATAGACGTATGAGTGCTGCCAGCATTGCTGCAGAGGTTGAAGGGGTGGGGGGTCAGCCTGTCAGTGCTCAGACCATACGCCGCACTCTGCATCAAATTGGTCTGCATGGCTGTCGTCCCAGAAGAAAGGCTCTTCTAAAGATGATGCACAAGAAAGCCCGCAAACAGTTTGCTGAAGACAAGCAGACTAAGGACATGGATTACTGGAACCATGTCCTGTGGTCTGATGAAAACAAGATAAACTTATTTTTTTCAGATGGTGTCAAGCGTGTGTGGCTGCAACCAGGTGAGGAGTACAAAGACAACTGTCTCTTGCCTACGTTCAAGCATGGTGGTGGGAGTGTCATGGTCTGGGGCTGCATGAGTGCTGCCAACACTGGAGAGCTACAGTTCATTGAGGGAACCATGAATGCCACATGTACTGTGACATACTGAAGCAGAGCATGATCCCCTTCCTTCGGAGACTGGGCCGCAGGGCAGTATTCCAGCATGATAACAACCCCAAACACACATCCAAGACGACCGCTGCCTTGCTAAAGAAGGTGAGGGTGAAGGTGATGGACTGGCCAAGCATGTCTCCAGACCTAAACCCTATTGAGCATCTGTGGGGCATCTTCAAACAGAAGGTGAAGGAGCACAAGGTCTCCTTCACCTGGAAGACTCCAGTGGCAACCTGTGAAGCTCTGGTGAACTCCATGCCCAAGAGGGATAAAGCAGTGCTGGAAAATAATGGTGGCCACACAAAATATTAAAACTTTGGGCCCAATTTGGACATTTTCACTTAGGGGTGTACTCACTTTTGTTGCCAGCAGTTTAGACATTAATGGCTGTTTAGACATTAACACACACACACACACACACACACACATATTTATACACACACACACACACACACACACACACACACACACACATATATACTGTTCAAAAAAATAAAGGGAACACTTGGAGTTACATTGTGCTGTTTAAGTGTTCCCTTTATTTTTTTTTTATCAGTGTGTATATATATATATAAACTGCTAAAAAAATAAAGGGAACACTGTGTGTGTGTGTGTATATATATAATATATATATATACACACACAAACACACACACACACACACACACTCATATACACACACACACACATCCAAATGTGTGCATTGGAAATACTATACACCATCTCTGAGGCTTGTTGTTTTGTTTTTTTGCATCAGAGCCCACATCATATAAAATATTTCAATTCATGTTGCTCTTCTTTACATTTCCACCAGAGGGCAGCAGGTAAATACAGCAAACATTTCACCACTGAACAACAGTTCTGTACTTCACTGCTCTCTCACACCCACACACAGACACACACAACTAAAAAGAGATCAATATTACCTCAACTACATGGACCTTAGGAATTTATTTCAAATACTAACAAAACATTGCTACCAAATTGGAAGTGTTTGGTCTGTTGAAAATGATTTGATTAAATAATACCTCAGCATACGAAAATAGAATCAAACAAAAGAAAGGAAGCCAGAATCTCTCTATAGAACATCTGCAACCTCTCTCTCCCTCTCTCTCTCTCTCTCTCTGCCACTCAGAGTAAACATTTACTCTGAAGTACAGTTGTTCTCTTGCACGGTCACACACTCACGCACATGCACACACAAAGCTAAACCCCTCCCATTCCTCCTCCACCCCTCTCTTTATCTATCTATCTATCTATCTATCTTTCTATATCTCCACCCCCTTTCCCTCACTCTGCTCCACACTTTGTCCTGGCACGTGATGGAGCATGTGCACATGGATCAAGAGTGTTAACACATGCACACACACACATCCTGTCATTCTTTATGCATGATTTTGTTCCGTCTTGTCCTTCCTTTCTCTTCTCTTACTTTTCCAAATCACTAATGTTAACCGTCTCTATTCCTCTTAGCCCCAAATCCCACCCCATGTCTTTTGTGCATTCTTTTATCTTGTATATAGTCCCTCCGTCAGCATGTGGGGACTGATAGCAGTTTACTTACAGTACATTCCAAACCCAACCCAATCTTAACTGCTTTATAACCAGGATAAACAAGGGCCACACACACACACACACACACTAACCAGTCTTATAAATGATCATTTTAAACGCTGCAATATACAGTAAGTGATGTAAATATTTCATCTCCATCATATTACTGCAGGAATGACTGTATATCGCAGTGTTTAAAAGTCTCATAAATGATACTTTTTAAACACTGCAATATTCAACAATTATTGCAGTATTATGATAGAGATTAAATATTTGCATGGCTTAATTAGGTAAATCCTACAAACCCCCGAAACCTTTTAATTAACATCTCAAATCCTGCAACTGAATTCAGAGCCCATATACTCACTACCGCCAAGAACACAAACCCCCTCAGGACTTTAAACATTACGAGCGCCAAAGGGAAATGAAATACAGGTTCTGAGACATGCATCAGAAAGGAGACCAGTCCTTCTACCAGTCCTGGACTGTTTTTTTTTTTTTTTTGTCTTATGCACTTATACTAGTGCAGTCAAAGTTTCTGTTTCTAGTTCACTGATATATTTTTCAATTAAAATGGGATCACAGAGAAAATAAAATAACATTTAAGGTAGTTATCGCTACAATAAAGCATAAAGGCTGATGTTTCTGGAAACATATATACCTTTCTGCTGTGGATGTAGTGACACTGAAGTTATTTCTCATTCAGATATTGTGTCACAATAAACACCATATGATTCCTGCTAATGAACATTGTAGACTTTTTATATCGATTTTCTAGAAATAATAAGATGACTCATTTTTCAATTTATGACTGCCTAGTATTTCTTGAAATGCAAGTATGTTATACAGAACACACTTTTACGTTCCTAACAATATGTCTTGGCAGACTTATTTATTTAGAGTCTGTTTATGTTTATATTTAAAAGATCTGTTAAATAAATGCCACCAATCAGATTTAATGATCTGAAACAATAAAGGCTTAAAATGTACACAGTAGAATAACTCTACACTAACCCTAGGCTTGTGCGAAATAACAGTATAATCGTCCCTACATTATATTACATTAACAAACTTTAACATTGGGGTATGCTAGTAGGAGTTATCACTCCAAAATACACCGAAAGAGCAGTCTTTTTTCTCCCCAGTAAAACGGGAGATGAGCAACATGTCATCGACATGTGAATCTGGAATGATCTACACGGGTGTTTTCAACTGTTTGATATTAACAGACACGTCCTGATAGCCCTATCCCCTTCCATTAGCTCACATTCATTCAACACGTACAGATTTGCTTGTGCTCTTGCTTTTTGACATGGTAAATAGAGAATATTTTGAGTATGTTAATGTGAAATAAAATCTATCAACGCATGTTTGACTTAGCTAACATTTATTCAATCATTCATTTATTTATTTATTTATTTAAGATCGGTTGTCTATATTTATTACGTATGCCACTGAAAACTTTGGCTGAAAATGGTCAATACACACTACAGAAAGTTTTAGAATTGCCAAGCAGCCTACACCGGGTGTCTTTGGACTGGGGGAGGAAACCGGAGTACCTGGAGGAAACCCCCAAAATACAGGGATACGAACTCTGCGCACACAAGGGAGAGGTGGGATTCGAACCCCCAACACGGAGGTGCAAGGCGAACGTGCTAACCACTAAGCCACTGTACCCCCTCGAACACTTTTCTTTCTGTCTTTTTTAAAAAAAATATGTATATCTCCTCTCTCCTGCGGTCTCTTGTGATTAGCATCAACAGTGAAAATGTTGGCCATGTTTTATTTTTAACTGTTTAATGCACATCTCTTACACTTATACTGAATTAATACGAATACTGCAGTGATACTGTAGACCCACTTAAAAATACACAATCCAGCTGGGTTTTCGCGATTGCCACAGTTACAGACTACACAGCTAATAATATTATTATGCATGCCCCTAATTTCCTTAAACCTGAAATCTCGGAACACACGGTTTTTAGGCTAATGGTTTATTTTATTGGCTAATGGTTCTGGAAAATCAAATCACTTGTACCAAATTTTAAAATCACGAGCATGGAACAATCGATATCTCACAAGCCTGCTGTACATGTACAGTGTTGATTCTGCTGCATCGTGAAATTACTTTTTGTTCTAAAATTATCTGAATAATTGTGAATTATTATTCTGATGCCATCTAAATAATCGTGCCTTTTTTGCAAGGCCCAAGTCAAGGTTAAAGTCTCAGCAGCAACAAAAATTGTGCCCACCAACAAAACTCACTGTGCAAGCAGCCGGCAGATCCCAGCATGCTCTGCTGCACCTGCATGTCCAAGCCAAGCAGCGTAGGTGGTGAGGCGGCAGAAGCTGACGATGACGAAGAGGAAGAGCAGGGAGAAGGGGACGTGGAGGGGCACTGTGAGCTCTGGGAGGGGATCTGAGCTCCATGCATGGCCATGCCGTTCTCCGTCAGGAACTCGCCCAGGTCCATGTAGTGCAGCTGGAACAAACCGGGATCAGACGCCACTGTTCGCTCCCAGAGGCTCTGGAAGGTGCCTGGTCCTGTCCCTAAACCGCTACCATCTGCAACTTGCCCATTGCTGTTCCTGTCACGGATGGAGCAACGTCCCAGAGAATCCTCATCCATGTCCAACCTGTCCTTATCTGAGATGCAGAGAGGGAAGAAATGCAATGTAATCCAATCTCCATATTAGTAGGTGGAAAACATAACTTATATAAAAATGAAAAAAAAAATCATTACTTTTCCCTTTGTAGCTAATGTTTTACAGTATAGGCATGTTAGCTATTTTAGCTACATTTAGTCAAATTACAGAATTTTACAGAATCACTTTTACAAATGTAAATTGTTATTATTTTGTCTTCTGGGAAACGTACATATCTTATGTAGTTTCTGAAGGGCAGTACTAAGTGAAAATAATAATGGCAATTTACACTGATCATCCTGTTCAAAAGGCTCTTAGTGTGTTGCCTTCTTGAGCATCATTGAATGTTTGCACCTTTTGTAATAGTTGTGTACATATCCCACAGTTGTGTGTGTGAAAAGATAGATCACAACATCATATAGCCACTGATGGAAAGGGGACAAATATGCAAAGATGCTGGAAAAACAAAGAATGTGTAGGACCTGGAGGATTTTTCTGAAGAACAGTGGGCAGTTTAACTGCTCAGGACAAACAACGGACTCATGAACAACTCTCACAAAACATAAACACAGTCATTGATCAACCAGGAAACAACACACAGTATTAAGAATCAAGTGTATGTAAACTTTTGAGCGGGTTCATTCATGTAAATTCAGTTATTATAGTGTCTTTTGGACTATATGTAAACATCTGTTATATGAAATAGCTTATTCAGGGCAGAACTAAATAAATAAATAAAAATGCCATTTTTTTATGATCCCTCTTTTTTTCCCCAATTATGAATATTTTGAGATTCTGCAACTTGTATGTAAATTTATGACCTCAACTGTAAATGTCCACATTATCAAGCTGAGATTATTCACTGAAATAAAGGGTGATACTTGGGAATAAATTGATTTTCATAGCTGTGATTTACAGGTGTTTTCTATCAAAGCATGTTGGTCCTGATTCAGTCTGAGATGTAATCCATGCCCTATTTAGGCTCATTTCAGATATGCACAAACTCAGAATTCCTCTCCCGGAGTCCTGGAGAAGGATGCACCAAATCATTAATGAATAATGATGAGGCAATATACATGATGAATTGAATTATTTATACCAGCAATCCTAGTGGGAGCCTTTACAATAGATTTGACTTTTTATTTCATTTTCAGCTCTGTAAAAAGACAAGTTCTAAAGGAACATCAATGAAAATATGTACATATAGTGAGACGCATAGACAGGGCACCTTCACTTACTGTGCAATATTGCTAGTGCCATCACATGACTGTAATTATCCTGTAACAGAAGTCAACCAACCCTGTATTCTTGGTAATGTGTTCACCTCAGCAGCTTATCTCTGTTTGCAAGGGCTCGAGCTACTATGATATACCTGACTTAGATACGTAACGCCCATTCTGTAGATCACTCTCGTGCACGGGGTTGTGCTAATCTGCACATGTAACTCTAATTTTGCTCATCCACAACATATGCTCCCACGAATGGTTCTCTAAAAGGTCTCAAAAAGCTGGATGATAACCCTGAATCATCTGAGCTGGCCATAGCTGCGGGCACAGACAGAACAAAAGGAAGCGGTAAAACTAGAGCTTAAATCATACCACATTAGTCTCATCCTCCCTGAAAACAGCATATCCACTTCTCACAGCAGATGCTGCTGCTATTATAACGCATACTATTAGAGTTGTCATTAGTAGTCGCACTCCACTACTGATGCTCAATAATGATGAGATAATAGTCCATTTGACAATTAAAACACCAATTCAATATCCTGTCATTAGCAACCAGCTCCACATCATTGCCAGAGAGCGTTCACATCGTGTATAGCATACACATGCATTTCATAAAACTGAAAAAACTGCGATAAAACCAAGATCTTTTGACTCATAAGCAACCATCTATTGCTATTTCTACAAAATAGCAATAAAAAGGCTATAACGTTCATTTCTCAGAAATAATATGGCACTTTGGTGTTTATCGTGTGACACGATATCTGAATTAGAAATAACTTCAGCGTCACTACAGCCACTGTAGAAAAGGTACATGTTTCTAGTAATCAGCCTTTACATCCTACTCTAGCAATAAATGTCACATTTAATTAGTGAATTTACACGTGTGTATCTGGAAAAGGCAGAGCTTGCCTTCATTAAATATGGTGTTTATGGTAACATACATTTTAAATATGCCAATAAACTGCTCTTATTTATTATATTTATTCCTTTTTCTGAGCATTGTGACCTAATGGACAACATTTTGAATTGTTGCAGAGGTCCTGTATTTAAATAATTCTTGCCTTCCAGCTATTTTAAATATTCCATGAAGCTCGATGGGGGAAAAAAGAAAATCTAATCAATGTACTGATCCTTTTTTATAGCTGAATGGCAATAACTCCCATATATTTGACTGTGTGAAGTTAAATGCTTGTGGGCTGGCATTTGAGCTGCAAATAAACCTTTGGAATTAATGGAGCAGGTGGCTTTTCACTTGGTTTATAATCAGTCTAAGATCAAAAAGACTGATCCTTGACCAGGTTAATCATACACCAATTTTGCATAGTCACTGTACAAAAAAATCCCTCAGTTTTCACATAGGATCACTCGTCATAAAGCAGATCTTGTGGCCAACAGCTGTCAACATCTCCTTCTACAAGGACATCTGAAAATGTGGGGCACTTTTTGATTGAGTGCACCAAAGCTGAAAAAATCTTCACTGATTGCAGCAGATTTCACCTCTGGTTAGACCACTTGCTATGGTCTATACTGTTGTCTATTCTAAAGTAGAATTCAATTCCTACTAAAGTATTTTCTTTATACAAAATCCAGGTTATAGACACATCCATTTTATTTCTTTTTTTTTGTGCACGTTCTTGAACAATTCAGACGTTTAGATATGTAAAGCTAATCAGCAGCCTCTCTGCTCATGCAAACCCTACTGAAATTTGCAAAACCATTTTAAACTTTTCATATGCACCACATATAAGAAACACTATTTAGCAATGATGGCCCAATGTGAAATTGGCTAATGCTTGTATTATTTTTAACCAAAACCAAAATCACAGGATAGCTAAAGTATCAACTAAAAGCCAATGCATGTGCATGTAATGCCCTGTATAAAAATGAAGAATAAACAAACAATTATGGCACAAAGCGCAAAAACAATGACGTATTACATTATTACTAGTACACCAATAACACCACTGCATTCATACTGGCAGAGATACTTTGGGGGGTTATTTTAGTTGACAATTCACTTGACAGTAGGTGAAGCAATGCTTGGCAAGAAGGAGTGGGCAGAGTTAAACTTTATGCAAATGAGAACTCATATCAGGTTTTCTAAACATGAACCAGCAAGGCTTCTGTAGCAGATCTTCAATGAGCAATCCTGCTCATTTATGAGAATTATTAAGATGTAGCCATATAATTCAACAAATGGAAATTTCACAGCTTGACCTTCTCTGATCTAATTCGTGAAGTGACCACATGGCTTGTTCAAATAATAAACCGAATCCTTATTCTCTGCCTCAAATTCAAAACAAAAATCAGAAGTGCTAACGTGAAGCACCAGTATCGCGAAACAAAACAAAACCACTTTGGTTAAAAGGTAATGTTGCTGCCATTCAGCCTGGTTAATTGCATACCCAATCCTTTGCATGCAAGGAAACTGATGTACCTGGAGCTTCACCAATTTTAGTTGAGTATCCCTGACACATACTGTACTGTCAACTGCTGATATCTGCTAGGTTGGTTACAGACTCAAAGTGTTTGAAAAATAAAGAGCAGCTAGTGTTTCACTGCAAATAGCTATCTAGTTTTTGCAGCCATATCTCACTAGCCATGAGCTACCAGGAAAACCATGGCAACTAGTGGCAAGATAAAAACACCAACTGGCAAACCAACACAGAGCGACTTTAGCAACATAGGGCAAAAAAAAGAAAAAAGAAAAAAAAAAGAAATGATGCCGGTGTGAACTCAGGGTTAGACAGTACAGACAGCAGCCACACGCGTGTGGACGTACTCTTCATTTCACAGCAGTCTT